GGATTGGTGGTGTGTTGCTTTTGTTGGAAGAAGGGTTTAAGGTTGTCTGTAAATCTCAGATCAAAAAATTACTTAATAATCGGACTGTTCTGTAATTAATTTTCCACCGGCATTTCGTAAATCAGCCATTTTTGTCAAAAAAATTTCTCCCCGGAATCCGACTATTTTTGAATTACTTTCAGATTATTTTTGTGTTATTTTTAATAATTCTGAAATAACCTATTATACTTATTTTTTAGTTATTTTTGAGTTATTTCAGGATTATTTATTTCAGGATTATTAAAAATAATCCTGAAATAACCTGAAAATAACTCAGGAATAACCTGCACCGCACGCAGAGGTTGGTCAAACGTCCGGACAGAAAATGTGCGCCATTTTTTTAGGCTTATTTATTTTGATGAAAAAATTTGAGGTGAAAAAATAATATAGTTTATTGAAAGATAAATGTAAGACTCTGCATATTAGTTGGAAATAAAGAAGAATCTTAATGTGGAGAGCTCAAACACTTATCCTACCCCCGTTAGGAAAAAAAAAGGTAAATATAATTATTTGGATAAACTCATTACAAATGCATGAATTTATTTTTTTTAAATTTGGATAAGTACATCATAAAAATTAAGGTTGTTAAAACAAGATCGGAATGGCCTGTCGAACCAGTCGAATAGTTAACCGGAAGAGCAACCGGTCCGGACGCTAGGGATAATTGGATTTTTGAAAAAATGGAATTTGACCGGTGAAAACTGGGGTCGAACTGGTGAGTCGTTGAACCCGTCATGATTTTCAGAAAAATGCTTGATTGTCACTTAGCAAAATCATAACACTTGATTTCTAAATTGAACGAATCAGGCTAATAAGGCATTTTTTAGTTCAAAATATTTGGCGAAAAGAGGGCTTTTCTTCTTTCGTGTTTCTTGGTTGTGTGTATTTGAGAGGGAGAGGAGGTCGAAGGGGTGAAGCTCGATGGTGGCTCGATCGTCGTTGCATGCAGGTGATCCCTAGGGCCAAGACAATGTCGTGAGGCTCCCTCACACTCGCTTCAATCACGATTCCCAAAATGCATGTGCAGCTAGGTTGAGGTAATTTTATTTAGGTTTTTTTTTTTTTTTTTTTTTGAGACTGTAATGCCTTCATTTTCATAAATAATTAGGTGGAAGAAAGAAATACGAAAGTTATTATATATTTTTAATAGAAGCTGTAATTATATTTGAGGTGATCATTGTTTTTTTTCTACATAAAGCTAATATTTTATTTTGGCTTATTTAATTTATTATACAAAAGAATGTGACTAATTTTTATAGATAAAGTTGTGCGACTAAAATATAGCATTGATTTAGAGGAATGTAGTGTTTTGTTTTATCCTTCTACTTGGATAGTGATATTTGATGTTATAAGAGAAATACAGAGAAGTGGTTGTGGTTGTGGCTTTCAAATTTCGTTAAGTTTACTTTTAGATTATCAAATTTTGAAGGCAGGAAACGTATATGA